AAGATATGACAAAATAATAATAATTTATAAATTATCAAGGGTTCATGAGAGGGGGGGAGCAGGGAGGGAGGGGAAAAATGAGCTGCTATCAAGGGCTCAAGTAGAAAGCAAATGTCTTGAGAATGATTAAGGCAACAAATGTACAAATGTGCTTGACAAACAAAGGATGGATGGATGGATTGTGGTAAGAGTTGTATGAGCCCCCAACAAAATGATTTCTATAAAATAAATAGATGATGAAGACGATGCCAGAAATAGATCACACCATGAAAGGATATAATAATAGGATTAAGTCAATGGAAAGGCGAAAGTATTTAATATTGACAAATATTGATTCGTTAGCTAGAAAACAAGCGAAAAAAGAAAAAGAAACACAAACAATATTTAGACAGCAGGGAAAAAGAAAACCTGAAGAAAGCTGAAGAACTCCATGGGAGATCATCAAGAGGAATAACTTACATGTCAGCAGAGATCCAGACTAGGAAGAGGTTTTCGTAATTAAAAATACAACAACAAAACTGTACATAGTAAGGTACGCCACCAAGAAGGTGAACAGAACCCTGAGCAGGATAGACTCCTGCAGGAGAGCCAACTATTAACATGGCTCTTCTGCCATCATCCTTGTCCCTCTCTTTAAAGGGCCCCTCCTGGAGAGTCTAAATAAGAGAAGGTGGGGGAGACACTGAGAGGATTCAGTGGGGAGGGCTGGCTAACAGGATCCACTGTGATGGCCATCCTGCTGCACATAAGATGAGCTCTCAGAGGCTGCATGCGGGATCTTACTACCAGCAAGAGCCAGGAGCAGAACTTGTCCTGGGACGTGCACCTCCTTGACCCAGAAGACAGCTGTGACCGCAGAGGGGACGAAGAGCAGCATCGACAGCAACACCACCAGGAGTCTCAACATGGGAGACAGTGGTGGACTTCTCAGCCCACAGAACAATAAAGCAAGGGATTTGGGGCATGAGGCTGGACCCTGGGAGGGAAGCTGGATTTCTTGAGCCAGGTAGGGAGAGTGGAACTCCGTCAGGATGAGACATCCACAGAATGGTATGCGCTTTGGGCATTTATTAACAGCCCTGAAAGAACGTTGCAATATATCCTAACTGAACAGCTATAGCTTGAGCCTTATTAACTTGCATTGTGACCTATTTTTTCCAGAAACCCTGTGATCATAAACTCAACACTAACAAAAATAGATTGTGCCCCACAGAAGTCCTATCATTGTAGAATGGCCCATGGGGATTCTGTGGTTGTAAATCTTTAGGGAAAAACATTCCCACAATTTCTTCCCAGGGAGCAACTTGGCGTTTTAAACCTTCAACCTTTCAACTAACTCATGAGAACTGCAGTGGCACAGAGTAGGTGATCAATAGATATCTACGAATTAAAGAAGGGAATGGAGAGGCACGTCCTCACCCAGTGAGAGCAGATTCCCGTAAATCTCCAGCATCACCTCCTTGTACAGATCCCTCTGCTCAGAGCTCAGTCCCGTCCACTCTGCCTCTGTGAAGATGATCGTGACGTCCTCCAACGTCACAGGTTCCTAAAATGAATCAGTGAACACGGAACCCACATCACCTTTCCTGGTGAAAGGACTTTAATCAAGGACTTGGGGAGGCATCCGGATCTAAAGACAGTCATCCAAGCCTTTCAGAATGGAATTTCAGAACAGAGTTCTCCATAGCAATTCTGTGGAATATGGCTGGACCCATGGTCTTGGGACAAAGTCTATGGGGAGCAGCAGCGATGCACAAATCATACCCTGTGCCTGGATTGTGTGTGAGGCCCAACATTTAATATTCCAATGAATTTTACAACACTCAAAATTTAAAACACACGTGTATTCAATTCAAGAAAGAAAGAAAAACAGCAACACTTTAAATCAAGAAAAAAAAATTTTTAACTCAACACCCAATTTGTAGAAGGCTATGGAGGACAGAGGGTGCCCAAAACGTGAAAAAAAAAAAAATTAAACTCTAGACAAGACAGGTAGTCTAAATGGTTAGAACATTGGGATCAACCTTAACAACTGAAGGATGGTGCAGGCTGGGCACTATTTCCCTCTGTTGTCCATGGGGTTTCAATGGGTGGGAGCTGACTCAAGGGCACCTACCCACGACATCAGGGGTAGCTCCAACTCACCATGATGTGGGGCTTCTCCTCCTCTGGGGGCCAGTCAGTAGACGTAGACGAGAAATCTATATTAAAAAAAAAAAAAAAGAAACAAGCTGTGAGATTGGACGCCACCCACAATGCCCCCACTTGTCGAGTCTGGGCTACAAAGAAGCAGTCATTTTACTCAGTTGTGGCCACCAATCCACTCAACCGGAATCTATAGCACCGGTCCCTCTATTCCCTTCTGCAGACCCTCAACGACTCCCACCTTCGCCCTTATTTTTCTGAGGCCGTTTCTTCTTGGTTTCCATACTCTCTCTGTCCTTTGAAGAAAAAATCTTCCCAGAGGTCTGTTCTTCCTGGACAGAATGGACCAAGCAATGTGGTAGCCTAGATGAAGTCGAGGGATTACCTTCAAATCCCATGACAGGACCACTTGGAATCAATTTCCTTTCCAGATGGATTTCTGTCGACTGGGTGGCTTTTTAACACCTTACTTATAAGGCCCCTCTCCTCTTCTAAGCATCCACGACCTTGGGGATCAAGATGAAGGGTGCGGTTGTTGGGTTCCTTGTGTGCGCGCTACACTCAGGTCTCTCCTGCAGCACTCCTGTCATCTCACACCCCCGTCAGCCTTCATTCACAGAAGCCGAGGTCAGGCAGGAGCTCTGCAGTTTCCACCGTGAGTCACTTCTAATGTAGAAGTCTTGAAATCTGTCCCCTGGCACGATTTTTGTACCTGCCAAACTTTACTGTGCCTGTAAGTCTCTAGGGCTCAGGTTCCATTTTCATGTCCAAGATCAGTTTCTGCTGGCTGAGCCAAAGAGGACACGGAATACAGCTCAATGCCTTTGGGGAAAGAGACTCTCAAACATCCAACAGACCATCAGGTCATGAAGAAAGAAGCTTTTGTCTTGCTATGCTCAAAGTTCCACTTGTGTTCAACTCCCCAAGTCCCAGTTCTTGAAGACATTTGGAGGTTTGAAGTGAGCCAATCCCAGCCACTAGGATTTCTACATAGATAACCTACTAGTGTGTGTTTGTGTATGTCACATGATCCTGTCACCGTCCTCCACTCATTCGGTACAGGAGGTGGTTCTAGAAGGCAAGGCCACCTTCAGAATGATC